GCTGTTTTGAGTTTTGAGTTTCTACCCTCCCCTTTTCCTCTTTCACATTTCCTTTCATTTCTGTAAGGCCCTCATCTGTTTCTGCTTCTTTCTTTTGGATCTCACCCGCTTTCTTTTCTCCAGCCCATCCCTTTAATTCTCTCTTTGCCCATCATGGGGACAGTAAATCCGCTGATGCTTTGAACACAGAGCCGTGAAGCTCCTTGATGGTTCACATGGCACCAACATCCAGACTGTACTCTGTCCTGTCTCCTCTCTTCATGCTGAGGGGGGAGCCCTTGATTTGCACACACATTTGTGCTGCTGCTGCGCACACACATATCTCAAGCGAGTCTTGTCCTGAGTAATATTAAATTTCCTGAGGACCAGAAAATGAGCCCACACAAGCAAATGAAAAATTTAAAATGACCCTTTACGAGATTCGCTCCCCCTCTGTATCTTTTACCCCTCTTTCTATTTTCCTTTGCCATGCACTCTTTTTGGAGCCCTTCATCCAAAATATGCTGTTTAATCTGGTGATATGATAAATTATCATCAAACAAGAAATACAGACTTATGAATACTGATTTAGCATGTGCCATTCCCTCGCAATGACTTAAAGTGTAATGAAATGATCCAGTTGTTTAAAATTCATGAGTGCACGGCTTGTAATCAAAGGAAATTGTGTTGCACGCTTGCCGGGGAAGATGAAATAATGATGGTGTTCTTCAAAATGAATGCTTGTTGGGATTTAAATTCAGCGTGAATTAGTTGGACTGTTTTCATGGCTTTGAATTGATGGTAGGGAAGAATGTACATACCATGAGCAGTTCATTGGTGTGCTGGAGAAAACAGACAAAAACGTCAGAGCTTGCAAGCGCATGGCTTCATGATGCTTCAGTGTTTTGTGTGCTGTAGTTTATGAAGTTGATTTCCTTTTTTAAAGGCTGTGGCTGCACTTCTGTTTAAGACAATAAAAACCAGAAAACAAACAGAAGAGTCCCCAATGTCTTTTTATTTTTCCCCTTAATGAGAGTAGTAACTCTTAAATATAAATATCCTATTTTTCATGTTGTACTTAATCAAGCAGGAGAAGGAGCAGCCCCTCATCTTTGAATGGTCTAAACTTTGTTTTTAGGATTCATCTGATGGCAACAAACACAAGCCCATTCACCCTGACATTATCACTGTATTTAATCATGACATGGGTATTTATTTAGGGATATGAAAATCCATTTGTATTTAAAACTTTGTCTCAGTTGTCAGAAGTGGCGAATCAATACAGACAATTAATAAAGGGTTGAATCCCCTGTAAATCCTAGTGCTTGTATTTGACATTTGGCTCAATATGGCAGCATTTAAGAAGTGACAAATACCTTCTCTCTATACACACACACCCCTTCATGTCTAGAAACAGGGCACTTTAAGAAAAATGTTTCCCAAAGAAGACACAAAAACACATTTATACACACACCGCCCGTTGTTCAGCTAAGCCTGGGGAATTGATGTGCCCCTAAGCCTGTTTTTTTTTTCCATGCATTATGCCCAAAGGAAAAAGCTTCTGAATGGTGGAAGCTGCCACTCACGAGAGTATAAGCTCAGGATCAGACCATAGAGGTAAACACACACACACACACACGCAGGCACGCATGCATGCATGCACGCACGCACGCACACACACACAAGGTGAATAAGAACAAATTTCAGGTCAGTAATGCACACTTTCAACGTGGAATCACACGTTCAAGAACAGGCATTCGGTTTCACAGGTGCACACAGTGTCTCCCCCCTCTCCTTCACTGCCACACACAGGAACATAAACACTCACCTCTAAGCCAAAGGATGAAACCTGCACAGTGTGTCGCTGCCTCATGCTGGCTTATCCACAGAGCCGAAGAACAGTGAAAGGATGGAAAGTGGAGATGAAGACATATGACAGGAAAGCTCTGTAAACAAGACCCACACATAAAGACTTATTAACAAGCACACGCACGCATGCACACACACACAAGCGCAGGCGCACGAACACACACACATGGGTTTTTCTCGCCTGTCTCTCCCTTCTTCTCAGCTCAAGTCAGGTGGAGCACTTTATGGCAGACTTGCTGTCCTGTGCCATGTTAATGTCTCCCTCTCTGTCCCGTGCTCAGGGCTGCTTGATGTGGGTTTCCTGCGAAGCACAGACAGATTGGTGAGGGGCTGACTAGGCCTCTCTGTGGGAGACTTTGGAGTCTGTCTGAAGATTCTGCCAAACCTTTCAGACCTGTACAAACCCAAGCTGCACCACTTGCTGTGCTGCAGAGGTAGTACTTGGCTTTTGCATGATCATCAGATTTCATCAGTAGTGAAGCAAATCCAATTTATTATTGGATATTAACATCTGTGTCTCTGTCTAACTTGTGCTGTACATGGTTAACATTCACAAATATTAAAGGTCCTTACACACCAGGGCCGACGCAGAATTGAACGCAAAATTATGAAACATTCTAAGGTGAATTTTGACGGGTCTGACTATACACATCAAGCCCGATGCGATTTTGCAACTTTCAGGGGGGAAAGACGCAACCTGGGGAAGACTTTTCCCGGGAAAAGTCCCGCCTCCTTCACCTCTGATTGGCTAGAAAAGCTGGAAACATCATCGCATGCTCAAACCAAACGGTCAGCACTTGGTACTATGGTAACAACCATTAGCTTACGTTAGCACAGATGTAAGTTAAAACAAAGACGTTCAGCGAACTGTTAAAGCACACAAACCATTGTCATTTGAGAGATCCGATGGTATGTTGTCCTTCAGGTTGTTATTTTTGTAATATTTGTGTCTTTTATCAAAAAGCACCTTTTCTCTCTGACACATGTAAACAATCAGCCGGTCGGCCATGTTGGATATACCAGTGAATCAGACGTTGCAACAGCACGCTATCTGATCGGTCAGAAGTGGACACACGGTATGTGAAACTTTAGAAAAATCGACCATGATCCAAAAAAATAAATGCCGCAATATCGCAGGATGGGAAAATGCCGCTGATGTGAACGCTTGTATCGACAGGATACGGGTTCAAAAAAAAATATTGACGTCCGAAATAATTGCAAGACAAAAACGGTCCCGGTGTGAAAGGACCTTAAGAGTGACACACAAAAAATTGGTTGCAAACCAAAGCATATCAATTCAAAATGCGACAGTGCAGTGTGTACCTTAGGTTGCTTTGGGATCATGAAAACAAGTATTAACTTTGGTTAAAACACCATTTGTGATAAAGCCAATTAAAACTATGAGTAAAGGACAGAGTTATTACCCACCTCTGCATTTCTTCAAAGCTTTGAAATAACTATTTGACTATCTTGCATTTTTAATCCAATTTTATGGACCATAACATTACAGTTTTGGTTCAGTCTCAGAAGAATTCTTTCTGGCAGTGCAGATGATGAAAAATTCCCTTCTCTCTTAACTGGATGCTCAAGATGAAAGAATGCGGGTAGATGCTGCTGTGTATAATAACAATTCAATGAAGAATTATACTGAAACTGATGGCTACCACTGTTTGTCATGGCTTTTAGTGTGTGCAGGTGCAGCTCAACCATACACCAAAAATGGTACAGAAAGAACAAAAGAAGGAAAAAAAAACACCACAAGAATAACTCTTGACATATAAGTTAAACTTCGATACTACACTTTGTAATTTTTGTTATATTCCATGTTCAAAGTTTACCAGAGTCAAATCCATAGTGTGTGAACACATACTTGATCAATAAAAATGACTGATTCAGATTCTGAATCTGCAGATGATTCACAATCCTTTTTTGGGGGGACATTCTCATTTTTTTTTGTGTTGCACATGTATTTTTGGCATTGTCTGTCACAGTAGTGTGCATTTTAAATTTGTCTACACATTTCAGTCCTCTTTCATGGGATAACATTTGTTTCATTAGTACTCAAACAAAAATCTGAAGAGTAAAATGTATTACTTGCAAACACTTGATTTATAGAATGTTTTTTAAATGACCAGGATGTTTTTGTTTGATTTTTCAGCTGAGAAAATGCTTGTGTCTCACTCTACAGGACAAAGTCATAAAATGCACCAATGAGCTTTTGTCCTTTTGCTCTAAAAAAGAGCCAGGGGGGAATATGGATCATATACTTACATGCCTTTTGGTCAATTCTAAGCATTACTCGGGGAAAAAGACCCTGGAATAGACTGGGAACATGCTAAAAGGATTAAATTTCATCATGGTTTCCATGTACTTCAGGATACTTGAGGAAAATAGAGTTTTAAAACCTGGTAAATGAACGGGATACTAAGGCTGCTTCATTTAGCTACTCTTACTGTTGCAGCTTATAAATGTGCCCCCTTGATTTGGTTAAAAGTAGATTTAATAATGAGATTAACATTTGTTGAAGACTATTCATTGAGTGGAAATGCTATAATTGTTTATTCTGGTTCCATTTTTATTTTAGCTGGTTTATCACATCTATTACATTTTTTTTTTAATTATTTACAGAGAAAAACTCACACTTGAGACAACCCGGACAAGCAAATTTTATATGACATTTTAAATGTGTCTCCATACAATACATTTGTGTTGTGGACCCACATCCACCTAGAGTGGAAATAACCAAAACAATAAAGAAAAAGGTGGAGAATGTTTCTTTAGGAGCTAGGAAGCGCCCTTGTCAAGGCGCACACTGTCGCTACCCGATCCATCCCAGAAACCTGATTTGTATGTTTTGTAATGATAATTTTGTTGTTGTTGCCATCATATGAATTCTTTTCATTACATCATATTATTGATTTAATAAAATTATAACAATGATCAACAAATAATTATACACATTAATCTAAAGTGAATATACACAGTAAAATATTCTTAGTTAATAGAATCCAACAAAGAGACACAGAGCAGAAATGGAGCGATCTCGTGGTCTAAAGAACCCTTCAGTGGAAGAGCAGAGATTGGAGCTGGAAAGCAAAATGGCGCTGTTATAGGCAAAGGAAAAGGTTCATGATGAGTGTCACAGACGGCGCATGGAAGAGATTCGAGCAAGAATTCACAAGATAGAGCAGGAAAATGACTCCATGAGCAAAAGGATTGCTGAACTGAAGGACCCCACGAGACTAACCAGAGAGGCTCTTCGTGACAGACCCATGGAGCTGAGGGCTTATGGCCACTTGACACTGGACGAGGCCATAGATAAAGTTCATGACAAGAATCTGAGGCTGCAGAAACAGATAAATGCTCTCAATGCCAAGAAGAAGACGGAGAAAGAAAAAATGAAACAGGAAGTAGGCGGTCAGAGCTGGAGGAAAAATTGAAGAAAAAACAGTTAGAGTGTGAGGAGCTCAGGAGGGTCTATGCTGAAGAGAAACGGATCACCCAACAGGTAAAGGAGAGCAATCTGACATGATCAGGATAACATCACCAAAAAGATAAATTAAGTTGTATCTACTCTTATCTTTTCTAATCTAGGCAAAGGAGAGTAATCTGACCTTGGAAAACCAGATGATAGAAATGGAAAAGAAGGTCCAGAAGAAAAGAAAAGAAGTGGAGGCCTTGAAGTTGGGCCTCAGCACCGCACAGCATCTGAAAAAGCAGGAACAGGCTGAGCTGGACAAGACGCTGAAACACTCCAAAGAGCAGGAGAGGTTACATAAAGAAAATATTGCCAACCTAAAGAAAAAACTTCAGGAGCTCAAGGACCACAACCAAGAACTGGAGAGACAGCATCTGAGATCAGCTCAACAGAAAGCTGAAGAGGACAGCAAGAGGCTAACCTCTCCGTGCTGCCACACGATGAAAGTCTGGATGACTTTGAGGTCCTGTATGACAGTGCAGAGGATGATCCTGACATCCTCACCTAAGAGCATCTGAACATCCTCGCCCGAGAGCAGCTGAAGGCTCAGTCCCATAAAATTATGGACTCTCCCTCCAAGAAGAGGCAGCAGCAGCAGAAGAAGGGCAAGTGATGACATATCCTGCAGACTACACCAGTCCAGATATTTAAAAAAATTAAAATAAAAATGTGCACAGTTTGCCCCGCTCCCTCCATAGGGTGCTGTACTTGTCTGCTCTCATTTGGGTCCACTATAATTGTTTAAACCCATTAGGATCTTGTGAACCCAGCATGCAACATTCTGTATGTCCCTCAGAACTCACTCACAACCCCAATCCCAGGGTGAAGATTCACTTAATTCAATCTAGATCTCATCGTCTAGTCTGGATGGTGTCTGCACAGATGGATCTAAGAAATGTATGATGATTGAAATCTCACTCATCAGACTTGATTTAGTTTCTCATTCACTGGGTTGTTTGTTATAAGGCCGTCTGTCACTCTCTGTCACCGCTTGCTTTCTGTCGTGGTACCTCTCTTTCTTTAAGCCCCACAGGGAGTTTCCCATAGGGAAATACTCAGAGATGTAATTATGCAGTCTGCTTTTCATAATTTGAACATTTACACTCCATGGCTGCTTCTCTCATCTTAATCAACAAACATAAACAAATCAATTAAGACAGGATATCAGCCGTGTTTACTTTGTAACTTGACAGCAAACTTTGCTTGAGTAGTGAGAGTCTCTCTCCGTCTTTACTGTGTTTTTCTAAAGTATTCAAAGACAAAAGCTCTCCTCTTTGAAAACATGCTTGATGGTGCAGCGTTTTCTCACACAGTAAAAACACACTGTACAGGACCAAAGCAAACACACACACACACACACACACACACACACACACACACACACACACACACACACACACACACACACACACACACACACACACACACACACACACACACACAGATAAAGACACACTTGTGTTGCCACTAATTGCATCAGTTCCATCAAGCTATTCTCAGAGAGCCACAAACACAAATCAAATTAGCGCTTCACATCGCCGTGTCCCCTGCCTCAGATACTCCAATTAGGCCACGACTGAGGGACTGGATTAATGCACATACACAGTCTCACACATATACACACCGAAAAGTTGTCACTAAAACAGTTTGAGGGTATTTGCAGCAAGGCAACTTTCAGAGGTCTTGGTTGATTTTTGGTATTGTGATTAGATAAACTGTGTGTGTGTTTGAACAGCAGAAGATGAGGGAACAGAGGCAGAGAGAGTTGGAGGAGGGGAGGTGGGGGTGAGATGGGTGAGATGGGTGAGATGGGCCTGGGAATGCACCAATGCCTCATTATAGGACTCTGTCCCTGCAGGATTTTTACATGCCGTCGCCTCAATAAATGTGGAATATTTTCTTAAGCGTATGGGATTTGTGTGTATTTTTGGCGTGTGTTTTGAAACAGCTGTTGATGGATGAATTTGCGTGTTGTATCAAACACAGTTTGAGTTCAAAGTCTCATCATAAATATATTCCTATGATCCACAACTCTCCTTTCTGATCCCAACAAGTGTTTAAACCTGCATCATTCTGCTAAAATGTTAGCAGTCATCTCTCAGAGGTAATTCAGAGCACAGATGTCCCCAGTTTGTTTGTTCAAACCGTCTGAGAGGAAGTTTTCACGATTCATGATCCTCTTTAACATCTCATTTAGCTTCAGAGACTTCATCTTAATCCAATAATGTCTGTGGGTGACTTTTTGGGTACGAGACCCTCTCCTGGGAAACCACAAGGTCTGGTTTGTATAGTATTTATCCAGGGTTATTTAATCTTTGTGGATGAGGTAGTTAGTGTCTCATCTTTCCTCCCCCCACAGGAGATGGAGATGTTGAGGAGAGAGATAGCAGCACCTGTCTCAATGTGGCAAAGTAATGGAGGATGGTCTTGGTGCTGATTCAAGTGTCTGTATTAATGTGACCAAAAATATGTCAACAGAAAAAAATCACAGACTCTAACGCTTAAATTGGGTTACATGTGTGTTTCTTCATTTCTGCTTCAGTGAGACACACCTAGGAGACGGTGTACATCACATCTTTGGTGGAAAACCTTTTAGCAAGGTTGAGCAAAATAAAGATTCAGTTAGAGCTGTGCTTTTAAAGGATAGTAAGCTCATCAGCCCAATAATAGTGCCATTTTCTGCTCTTTTCTTTCATTTTTTGCTAGAGTTTAAAGAAGCCTTCAATATTTTGTACACAACAGTGATGTCTGTGGTAAGAGAAATAGATTCAATCACAGTTTAAACAAGTAAAAATTAAAATAAGACCTTCTGCCATCCAGACCTCAATCAGTTTCATTTTAATATTTGAAGTCCAAAGATAGCCCATGTGATTTCAGGTGCAGTGAAATACTCGGGTCTACGAGACTGCAGAGTCTATCTGAAAATCCATGTTCTTATATATGCAACCAGAAAACATAGAACAAAATAAAGACAATACACTCCGACTCCTAAGTTAGGAGAGCGACTGTGAGGCTCAGACTCTCGGAATAAAGACCTGTGTGTGAATGAGACTCCCTAGTGGACAAAAGTGTGCAGTTGCAGAAGTCAGATTGCAGACATGTTGGTGAGTTTGAGAGTAATTTCAGGGACACAGCAAATACACTGTCAGCCGCTGACTCAACCTTAAGATCCACAGAAAACACACTTTAAGACTCCTGCCGTCCTTTATTATAGGCATTATAACTCAGCTCTGTATCCCAACATTATCAAATAATTGATGTGTACTAATATATGATGTGATGCGTCTGTTTCAACCACTCCTGCTCCTCTTTTGATTATTTAGCGTTGGTCAGGGACATGCGAAGGGTTTAAGGGGCGCAGGGGTTGAATTTTAAAACAAATATCTGTGTGACAGACTAGGCTGTGTGCAAACAGTTTCACTTATTATATAATTTGCCATCAATTTGTTCTGCATTTTATGTTTATTTATTATTCTAATGTTTTTATATACAGTTGTATGACAGTTGAATAATAACAGGGTGTGGATCAGACAGCTCTTCTGTATTTGGGCTCTTATTTTGGGGATGTGTGAGGCCCTCAGGTTTGTGACACCAGAAACATACTAAGCCGGCCCATCACCCAGGAGGACTGACAGAAGTGAGGTCAGGAAATTTGCTTTTGTAGTTATTTTTACTTAACTTACTTTTTATTTTATTCTTTATTTTTTTGAATTTCTGGACTTGTCAGCTTCACGTCTGTTAAGAATTATGACCAACAGAAACTGAAGATGACTTCAGGCTCCAAGTTTGCCTGTCAAACTCTGTGGAGCTTTACTGGTCAAGCTGTCGCTGATCTCTGCTGTGGGAGACACATTCGGAGCCAAGGATAATCCACAGTACTCAATGTTACCCAGGCCACCTGTTGCTAGCTTCTCTCTTTGGATGTTTCTTACATAGACCATTGGCTCTGTGAGACCCTGAAGACTATTCAGAAAATCCATTGAGGTAGAGTAGCATTTTTATTTTGACTTTATTTGGGGTGACAGGGCCAAAAAGTTTTGACCCAGGCTGTCAAAGAATTTTGTTTTGGGGTTAGTCTTAAGTGCCTGCTTCTGTTGAGGTATTTTTGTTCTGTGTGGGCCATGTTTTGGGTTGTTGTATTGAGACTTTCTGTTTACACATCAACAGCTTTTTATTTTTTTTCCCAACTGATCTGTTTTTGTGTTTTTTAACAGCTTTCTGCTTGATTTAGAGCTTTCGACTTGGTTTATAACCCGTGTAAAACAGTAACTTACCTTATTTACTGAGAAGGTAACAACCCGAGTACTTTCCTGCATGCAACACAACTCTATTTGCTCTGATGTGCCTCACAGCAATTCACAACAAGCAATCTGCTGATCTGGACCAAACTCTGTTCACAAACACCCAATGTAAAGACAGGATCAGATTAAGCCTCATCTTGCAAGATCAGACCCACTCCCATCCCATCTTCAGCCACATGAGTAAAACACTTAACAGCATTTATCAAGTTACAGTGGAGAAGAACTTCCTTTAACAGGCAGAAACCTTGAGCAGAACCAGGCTCATGTTAGACAGTCATCTGCTGAGACTGAGCTGGGTTTAGAAAGGGGAAGGAGGGGGATGAAGAAAGAGAGAGATAGATAGAAGAGAGACTGATAGAGGGAGATGAAGAAACTATTATCAATTTAAGTGTTTAGTGTTTTTAAACCAATTTTGGTGATATGATACGAAACACAGTAGGCCTACAATGAAAACAACAGAATGGAAGCACAGTTAAATGAGAGAGGGAGTATATATATATATATATGTCTATATATATATATATATTAGGGCTGTCAATCGATTAAAATATTTAATCGCGATTAATCGAATTTTGATCAAAATTAATCACGATTAATAATCGCAAATTGATCGCATATTTTTTATCCATTCTAAATCGACCTTTTTCAAATTGTAATACGTTTATCAACATGAGAATAGACAAATTCTTGCTTCATGCCAAAAAACGCATGTTTATTTGTTGCCACAATGAAAAACACTGTCTTTAATAAACTACTGTGCAAACTTCATTGTAAAATATAAAAGCCCACTTGGAGGGCTGCTCGCCCGGGGAGTAATTTGGTCTAGAAATGCCACTGACAATACTAATCGGCCGACAAGCGGTAGCCACCCATTTAGCGATCGCTGTTTCAAGTTTGCGTTTCGTAGACCTCTCCATCTGTTTACCTTGCACATTCAGCGTTGTTTGCTTGAGGCGGGGGGGCGCGGGGCTCTCTAAATCAGCTGTGTGCTTGGCCGACAAGTGATATTTAAGGCTGGACGTACTCCGGTGGTAACTAAATTTGGCTCGGCAGGAAACACAAATTACTTTTGTCCTGTCAACAGATCCGTCTGGCAAGACTTTGTAGCTGAATTTTCCGTTCAAAATAGTGTTCTTATTCATTGTATCCTAGTTGTATGCTCACGTGGATTCGATTATGTCTGCTGTGGTATCAGTCAGTGCACTACTTCCTGATTC